TGCCGCTCCGGCCCTCGCTCCTTTCGCTCGGGCTCCACTTCGTCCTTACTTCTGTTAACTACCTCTGTGTCTCTGAGGGGTGGGCTGGCCCGGTGGTTAGAAGTGGTTTTAGAGGCAATCTGCCACTCACTGGCCGTGTGGAGACGTGCATGCTGCATTTCACTCTTTGGACTCCAGTTTCCTTCTTGCATATCGGGCGATTAGCACCTACCTTGTGGGGTAGCTGTGAGACGTTTTATTTTATTTTATTTTATTTTTTTATTTTTTATTTATTTATTTTTTTTTAAAAGATGACCGGTAAGGGGATCTTAACCCTTGACTTGCTGTCGTCAGCACCACGCTCACCCAGTGAGCAACCGGCCATCCCTATATGGGATCCGAACCCGTGGCCTCGGTGTTATCAGCACCACACTCTCCCGAGTGAGCCACGGGCCGGCCCAGACGTTTTATTTTTAAGGACGGAATGGAGCCTCGTCTTACTAAGTGCTAAATGAATACTACCTGTTATTTTTTCTCTGTGTGTCTCTGAGTCTCTCTCTCTTTCCAACTCTCTGTGAGTTTCTGTCTTTTGGTTTTTCTCTGAATTTCTGACACTCTCTGGATCTGTCTTTGTGTCCAGGTCTCTGTTTCTTTTTGTTTCCCTATGCATCTGTTTTCCTGTTTTCTTTGAGTCTTTGACTCTTTGGATGTGTTTGTCTCTGTCTCTTTGGATCTTTCCTTTTTCCCTCTTTGTCTCTGACTCTCTCCCTCTCTCGCTAAGCCTGCCAATCTCCCCTGAGTCTCTGTCTCTGTAACACACTCTGTGTGTCTCCCCATCTCTCTTTTGCTCACTGGCCCAAACTCTCTTCTGCCATTTCCTGTTCCTACAACATCCCCCCCACACCCTGAGACTTCATTCAAACAATGCCCAGAGAAGAAAAGCAGTTGCCTTGAGGTCACATAGCCCTCCAGAGGTCAGAATTGGGTAGACCCTATCTCTCCAATACCCTCAGACTCCATCTCCGTCACTGGATCCCTTCTGCCCTCTCCTCCTGTATGACAGCCTCATACCAGAACAAACCCTGTCCTCAATCCAAAACCATGGAGCTACCTGAGAGGACTTCTGGGAGTTGGATCACAGCTGATGAGAAGGATTTGTTGATAGGCACAGGGTAGCTGGACTGCCCCAGCAGGGGAGGAAACCCAGCATTTGAGAGTGCCAGTTCCACACTGATGCATGCTGTTTCCACCACAGATGACAATCTGGGAGTGTGCTGGCAGGAAGTGGGAGCTGACCTTGTGTGCAGTCGCCCTCGGCTGGACCGTCAGGCCACCTACACGGAGTGCTGCTGCCTTTATGGCGAGGCCTGGGGCATGGACTGCGCCCTCTGCCCTGCCCAGGACTCAGGTACTGCCACTGGCCTAGGCTGCACTCAGAGGCCCTGCCCCTTAGGCTCCAAATCCAGGCCCTCAGACCCCCAGACTCACAACCCCCAGTTCCTCCCTGATTAGGCTCCTCAGATCCCCATGTTGAAGCCCATCCTAAAATTTTGATCCCAAGTCATATCCCAAAGACTTCCAAGTCTCAACCACAGAAATGCTAAGACCTGACAGCATATCACAGCCCTTATAGGCCCCTAAGGTCTGGTCTCTTGTACTCTCAACTCCTAGCCTCTAAAATCCCAAGACACAGCCTATCAGATCCCTTCCCCCAAATCCTGGACCCTCAGACTTCAAATACCATTTGTTCAAACCTCACCACAGAAGTCCAAGTCCCATTGCCTTTGAACACCCACGTCCAGCTGCCTAAGACTCCAACACACAGCCCCAGAGATCCCCGGATTTTGGCTCTTAAAACCCCGAGTCTCCCAAACCTCAGCCCTTGGGAACCCAGTCCCAAAGACCCCAGTCCTGGGTCCTCAGACCTCCAGATCAGTGGCTCAGACCCCCTCCAATGCATCGTGGCCCCTCAGGGCCCCAGTAGCAATCCCTGGGATTCCCCAGTCCTTGTCCATAAAACAACCCCATCTCATTTCTACAGATCCCTAGTCCTAGTTCCTCTGGTCCCCCAAATCCACCACTTTGGACACTAATCTTAGCTGCAGTCTTCAGTACCCTTTATCCCAGTACCTCCAAATCTGAGTCTCAGCCCTCAGACTCTCAATCCTGGTTCCTGAAACCCCTGGTCCTGCCCTTCCAATCCATCCCCCTCCTTTCAAGCTACCCCCGTGCCTCAGCCCAAGGCCCTTCCACCCTTTCTTCTGGGCTGCTCTTCCCAGAGGGTGGATATGAGTGATGGGTGTGGAGGCGAGCAAGGGCTGATTGCTGGGCTTGGCTCCTGTTCACAGATGACTTTGAAGCCCTGTGCAATGTGCTACGCCCCCCTGCATATGGCCCGCCGCGGCCAGGTGGCTTTGGACTCCCTTATGAGTATGGCCCAGACTTAGGTTCGCCTTACCAGGGCCTCCCGTATGGGCCTGAATTGTACCCGCCACCCGTGCTACCCTACGACCCTTACCCACCGCCACCTGGGCCCTTCGCCCGCCGGGAGGCCCCTTATGGGGCGCCACCCTTCGACATGCCCGACTTTGAGGATGACGGTGGCCCTTATCGCGAATCTGAGGCTCCTGCCCCACCTGGCCTGGGCACCCGCTGGCCTTATCGGTCCCGCGATACCCGTGGCTCCTTCCCAGAGCCTGAGGAATCACCTGAACGTGGGGGCTATGCTGGTGAGTACTGCGGGCCGAGTGATGGAGACTGGGATGAAGGAGGTGTGCAGAGAGAGAGGAGGGGAGGGAGGGAGATGCAGAAACGATGAACTCCTTCCCAGAGCCTGAGGAATCACCTGAACGTGGGGGCTATGCTGGTGAGTACTGCGGGCTGAGTGATGGAGACTGGGATGAAGGAGGTGTGCAGATAGAGAGGAGGGGAGGGAGGGAGATGCAGAAACGATGAGAAGACAGGAGAGACTGGGTCAGAGGGGAAAACAGATACAATGCGACAGAGAGCAGAGTAGCGACGAAGAATAGAGAAATACCTGTAGACCGACAGAGAGAGATGGGGACAGAGGGAAAGCTATGGAGAGCTGAACGAGGTGACACTCCTGGCCCCACAGCGCCCCCTACAGCCCTGGAGCAGATCGGACAGTTTAGAAGGAGACATGGAAACAGGTGCCCGCACCCACCGTAGAGGGCTAAGGGACAGGGCAGAGACCTACAGTCACTGGGTCTCCGTGTTCTCCTCAGGCGCCCTGGCTGAGCCCTATGAGGAGCTGGAGGCGGAGGAGTGCGGGATCCTGGACGGCTGCGCCCACGGCCGCTGCGTGCGCGTCCCTGAAGGCTTCACCTGCAACTGCTTTGATGGCTACCGCCTGGACATGACCCGCATGGCCTGCGTCGGTGAGGGGCAGGCTCCGGGGCTAGCATGCGTGGGGAGAAGATGGGCTTGACCAGAGAGAGGGGAAGCCCAGAAAACGACCTTACTACAGGGGACTGAACAGCCCAAAGGAGTAATTCTTGTGGGGGAGGAGAGGAGGGGGTGAGGGGAGTTAAGAAGGTCAGGTCAGGCTAAGAGGAAGGCAGGGCTTGACCACAGGGGTGCAGCTGGGCCTTGAAGCAGGATAGAGGGGTAGAGTCTTGCAGATGTGATTTCTAGGCATTCCCAGTGCTACCTTGACAGTTTGTATGGCCTCTTTGGAGAGCCTCAGTCTTCCCATCTGTAAAATGGGAATATTGATCATGTCTGCCTAGTTTAGGGAGTACTAAAACAGATTGATTACAATCAACAACTCTGAGGGAGTTGGACAGACCTCAGGCTCAGTCCAGCAACTTGCTGTGTGACCCTGGACAGGTCAGTCAGTGTTCCTTGCTTAGTTGTCTTCAACTCAAAAATGTGCATAGTCAAACAATCCATTTCATCGAGTTGTTGTGAATTTATTAACACTAATTTACAGTAACACTGAGGCCTATGTGTAAATCTAGGCTCAGAAAAGAGTATTGAGTTCCCCAAGGTTTCACAGCCAAGAAATAGCAGGGGATTGGGCACCCAGAGACTTGTAGAGCTGTCCTGAGAACCCGCCCGGGAGAGAATGTCTTTGCTGTGGAGGGGTGACATTGGGCAAAGGGCTTTCCCACGCTGGGCCTCAGTTTGCACATATTTAGAACCCTGCTTCATAGGGTTAGTAGGAGAATAAAGTTGATTCTCATAATGCACTTAAAACAATGTCCTGTATAGAGTAAGCGTTTATTGTTGATCTCATCATCAGTATTATTTTCCTAACAAAAACGTAGTGACATAGGGGCTTCCATACCCATCTTACAGAACAGTAAGCTGAAGCACAGAGAGGTTAAGCCACCTACCCAGGCTCACATAGCCAGCAGGTGGCAATGGCCGGATTCAATTCCAGTCTAGTGGCTCAGCTCCAGTCAGTTACTCCTGCGCCCCAAGTGCCTAAGGGGTCGGAGAGGCGGGCTTCTGGGTCTCCGACCCTGAGCAGCGCTCCTTGTTCCGCCTCCCAGACATCAACGAGTGTGACGAGGCTGAGGCGGCCTCGCCGCTCTGCGTCAACGCGCGCTGCGTCAACACCGATGGCTCCTTCCGCTGTGTCTGCCGCCCGGGATTCGCACCCACGCACCAGCCGCACCACTGCGCGCCCGCTCGGCCCCGGGCCTGAGCCCTCGCCCCCGCCGGCCGCCCACCACGCCTGCGCATGCGGGGTCCCTGCCGCACCCGGCTGCCCGCTGTGCGCATGTGCGCAGCGCCTGCCAACGACGCCGCGGGCCCAGGCGTAGCCTTCACGTTCCTTCTCCCTTTTATAAAATGTTCAATTAAAAACACCTATTTTGTACCAATTGCCTCTGCCTGCCTTTCTTTCTCTCAAAATCTGGCTCCAGAGTTTCTTTGAATCACTAAACAACACTCCCCTGCCCCACCCGTTACCGACGCTGCGTCTGACTCTCGGTTTCCATGACTCCCTGGCTTGGTCGGCCTCCGTCTCTCTCGGTTTCTTTCTCCTCCTCTCTCTGTTTTTCTCTTGGTCGTTCTATCTCTGTCTGCGATCTCTTGTCTTTCTGCTTCGTTTTCTCTGTCCAATTCTCTATCGCCCCCGCCGGACGCCCACCACGCCTGCGCATGCGGGGTCCCTGCCGCACCCGGCTGCCCGCTGTGCGCATGTGCGCAGCGCCTGCCAACGACGCCGCGGGCCCAGGCGTAGCCTTCACGTTCCTTCTCCCTTTTATAAAATGTTCAATTAAAAACACCTATTTTGTACCAATTGCCTCTGCCTGCCTTTCTTTCTCTCAAAATCTGGCTCCAGAGTTTCTTTGAATCACTAAACAACACTCCCCTGCCCCACCCGTTACCGACGCTGCGTCTGACTCTCGGTTTCCATGACTCCCTGGCTTGGTCGGCCTCCGTCTCTCTCGGTTTCTTTCTCCTCCTCTCTCTGTTTTTCTCTTGGTCGTTCTATCTCTGTCTGCGATCTCTTGTCTTTCTGCTTCGTTTTCTCTGTCCAATTCTCTATGTCTGTTTTTCTTTTCGTATCTGTCTTTCTGTGTTTTTCTCATTTCACTTCTCTTTGTTTCATTGTCTCTAATCTCGAGCGAGATCTACTGACCCTCCCGATACATCCTCCTGGAGCCCCCTCTTCCCCCTGTGTGGGGCTTCAGATAGGGACGGAATGGGGCAGCCTCCTGGCGCTCCCTTCTTTCTTTCTTTCTTTCTTTTTTTTTTATAAGATGACCGGTAAGGGGATCTTAACAGTACCACGCTCTACCAAGTGAGCCACGGGCCGGCCCAACTCCCTCCTTTCTCAGCTGAAGGGGCGCCCAGATTTCCTCAACTTCCCCAAGAAATCTTAAGCCATTCTGGGACAAGTGGGGCACGGACAGGAGGCAGGAGTCCCTAAAGGGGTGATTCCCAGACCTGAACCTCCAGCTGGGAATTGGCTGTGGACAGAGTAGGGTGTGGCAGCCCTGGTGGGTGGCCTGTGCAAGAACCGCTGGGGCTGGGGGCGGGAATGAGATGTGTGTGTGGGTGATGGCAAAGTACCCGAGCACGGAACCCCGAGTGCCCCCTGCCCACTTCCTGGCCATGCTGGGGAAAAACAAGAAAAGGCTGGACCAACATAAGCTGGGGGGCGGGGCGGGGCGGGGCGGGGCGGGGCAAGGAGGGGCCCATTGGCAATGGGCTGGGCTGAAAAAAATGAAAAAGAAAAACCTACCTGTTAGTGCATCTCTCCCCAGGGTTCCAAGCTCAAATGCTTCAGGGGCCAGACAAACGATGTCAGAGGGAAGCAGGAACAGTATAAAATCAAAGCACAATTGACATTCTGCCTAACAGTTGGGGTGGAGCAGGAAAGGAAATCCCCCCATTTTTAATAATAATGTATGTTTTATAACTACCCCTTGGGGCTTATCTAGCCTGTGAACTACCAATTTTAATCCTCCAGGTACAGCTCAAAGTTGCATAAATGGGGAGTGGAGGCTCCTAGACTTGACCCCTGCCCACCTCCTGAGCTTCAGGAGGGGTCATAATCTTGAGAGCCTGTGGCACCACGTGGGGATCCTACTGAGTGCCTATTGCACAGAATTGTTGGTGCTGGTTAAATGAATCATGATATATGTCAAATGCTTAGAGTGACACCTGGCACATAGCAAGCATTCCGTCACTGTTCTCCTAACCCTGGGCCTCCTGGGAAATGTTGAGCCTGTGGCTGGTCAGATGGAAAGAGCAGATGGCCAGTCTTATTCTTTACCAATTCTCCCTCCCAGGGTGAAGGAGGAGGCCAGACTCTATCTCCTTCAACAGGACAATGAGAAGCACCTAGCACAGGAGCCTCGGTGGAGGGTGGGCGGTGTCATACCACGAGGGGCTCAAGGCTCCACAAAGGGGGTAACGGTTGCACAACTCTGTACTGAAAACCATTGAATTATACTCATACACTTTAAACAAAGCCATTAAAAGAAAAAAAATGAACTTCTATAAGGGGGGTCAGGAAGTTAAGCTCCAGAGAATTCGACCCAAACACCAACCCCTCATTCATTCATTCGACAAATATTTCCCATAATATCTGCTTTGTAATAAGTTAGTGTTGGGAACACAAACAAACTTGAACCCAGCCTTAGTGAGTGGGAGCTAGGGTAGGCTCCTGGAGGAGGAGTTGTCTGAGCTAAGATCAGAACGATGCAGGGAAATGAGCCGGATGAAGCAGTGGAGAACAGTGTTCCAGGTGGAGGGAAGAGCATCTGTAAAGATGGAAGAAAGGGAAATATCTTCTAAATACCTTTCTTTTGGTATGTCAGTCCTGTGTTGGACAATGCTGGTGACATTTTGTGCCTAAGAAATCCCTGGCCCCTGCCTTCATGGAGCTCCAGTTGGGGACACAGACACATTGCCACACATGACATCCTCTACCGTGAAGGGGAAGGCACAGGCAGAGGGGTCAGGGTTTTGTGGGGAAGATCAGAGGCTGTGGGTACTCAGAGGAGATACCTGATTCAGTCCGAGGGAATATCCGGGAAAGTTTCCTGGAGAAAGATATAGAGCTCCAGAAGTCTCTGTCGAGGGTTCTAGATCCCTTTGAGAATCTGTTGCAAGCTGTGGACATTCGCAAAAGAAAAATGCACACAAACAAACGTTGTAGGCAATTTCCAAATATCCCATTTCCTCTCTGGGGGACTCCCGTGGGCATCCCATTCTCCCCACAACCACCTTGCCGCGTAAATGTCCCAGAAATGGAGACGGGGTTGCCAACACTGCTGGAAACCTTTGAGGTCGAGTTTCAGTATCCTGGGAGTGGGATGGGGTGGGAACTGTCATCTGAGAAGCCCACACATCCCTCTCATCCCCCGCTGGGCCTGGAGGTTGTGCAAACGATCTAGTTTTTATATTGCCTGCGTCCCCCGCACTATTCCCCAGCCTGCCGCTGGGGCTTTTGGCACCGGCCGGGACCGACGCGTTCTCCTCTGGAATGACCAGAGGGAGCTAGTACAAGAGGCCACCGCTCTCGGCGGCGGGTGGGGATGGGCGCGAGACCAGTGCCACAGCGCCCCCTGACGGTCACCGTGCGCCGGTGCATCCCGAGCCGGCCGCGTCCCCTAGTGGCCAATGATCATACAGTCATCAGCGAGGGCTGAGCTCCTTCTGCTGAGCCAGCCTCTGGTCTGCAGGTTGGGGTCGTCATTTTCGTCGTCATCATCATCAACAACATCTAACACAGCTCATAAATGGCGCTTCCTACGTGCCAGGCACTACGCTGCTTTATACATATCACCTCATTTAATCCTCACATCAGCCCTATGAAATGGGTACTGTTACTATCTTCATTTTCCTCATTTGAAGCACAGAGAGGTAAGGAAACTTACCCAAGGTCACATAGCTACTAAGTGACAGAGCCTGGATCACACTTAGGGAGTTTGGCTCTGGCGTCATTTTCTGAACCATTCAAAAATAATCATAAAGTGAAATGATATGATGGCTAGGGTTTGCTTCAAAATAATCCTGTAGAACAGCTGAGCCTCGAGATGCAAAGAACCCGAGTCCCAGGATGCTCACACTGCCAGCCCGGATCATTCACCCTGGAGTATTTTTATTTAAGCCATCATCTTTTGAAGTCTCTTTGTTACAGCAGTTTAGCTTATACCCTAAATGAGCCCACCAGGATCACCTGGATGGCTCATTAAGACACAGATTGTTGGGCCCCACCCCCAGTAGATCTGGAGTGGAGACTGAGAATTTGTATTTCAAGTAAGTTCCCAGAGGCTGCTAGGGCTGCTGATCTGAGGGCTATTGAAAACCACGACCATTACCAGTGCAGCCCAGCATTCACTCTTTTGCTTAGGGAGAATTGCCTTCTTCACTCTCAGTTCATGTGGCTCACGTGGAGCTGACGCTACCGGAAGACTCCAGGCCTGGCCAGCAAGGGACTCCCTTCCCCTCAGCCTTTGCAATTGGTTCAGGAATGGGCATGTCTCCAAAGCCAGAGTGATGAGAGTCAGCTCTGGGACTATTGATGGACTTAGGCTTGCTGTGCTGGAAGGGCATAGGCCTGGAGCACTGGGAACTTACCTGAGGGAAGAGCTGGCCTGAAATGAAACCAATGCAGCGGGAAGCAGGGACAGAGAGACTATGCCTGACACACGGCCATCTGCACTTGTGGGTCCAGCCATTCCCCAGAACTCTCCAGTCATGTGACAGTTTTCTTCATATCCTACATGAAATGTCAGCAAATTCTGTCAGCTCTACCTACAGAAGGTGTCTAATTCTGTAGTGGAGGAAAAGTGATGCTATAAATCAGAACATTTTTTGGGTCAAATGACAAAACTGAAATACAGATAGTAGATTAGGAAAAAAATCATGAGGGCTGGCCTGTTAGCTCAGTTGGTTAGAACGTGGTGCTGATAACACCAAGATCCAGGGTTCGATCCCCATACTAACCAGCTGCAAAAAAACCCACAAAAAACAAAAAACACCAAAAGCAAAAAAAAAAAAAAAAAAAAGAAATTCATGTAGTAATGTTAAATTTACTATAGATGATCACTGTATTATGGTTATATAAGAGAATATCCCTATTTTTAAGAAATACACACTGGGGCCGGCCCGTGGCTCACTCGGGAGAGTGCGGTGCTGGTAACACCAAGGCCCCGGGTTCGGATCCCTATATAGGGATGGCCGGTTAGCTCACTGGCTGAGTGTGGTGCTGACAACACCAAGTCAAGGGTTAAGATCCCCTTACCGGGTCATCTTTAAAAAAAAAAAGAAATACACACTGAAGTATCTAAGGCTAAAGGGCCATCCATGTTGTGTGCAATTTAGCATCAAATGGTTCGGAAGAAATATATACACACACACT